GCCCCACACCCTGCTGCCGGGGGATGGCCTGCTCTAGATCCTCAGCCAGCATTCAGGGAGGGCCCCACTTCCTTCTGCCCTTCCACGCAGTGGACACGGGCAGCCGGGTGACAAGCATCACAGCGAAGACCCTCTGAAACAGCGACCGCCTCCAGGGAGGGCGCACTGTGCTCGCACGGAGGCAGGCGTCACCACGCAGCTGCGCCCCCACGTCCGGGACACACAGGGACCACCTCAGTGATGCCCACCCCACCGGGGGGCTGGGGGCTCCAGCTCTCCGGCCAGCAGACACTTTGTCACGCAGAAATCCGGTCACTGTCTCCTTGGGCGGGGCCAGCAACCAAAGCGAATCTCTCGAAGTCAAAAACTGGTTTTGGATCCTTGTTGGTGGGAGTCTCCGTTTAAAAAATAGACTGAAAATCTGAAATCATCTTAATAGCAAAATAATTACGGTAAGAAAAAAAGTTACAGCGCTTCAACTGACAGGGGCATCCAGCCGGCCCCCTGAAGCTGGTGGCCCTTGGCACCTGGGTGGCCCAGGGGCTCGAGGAAGCCTCCCCTCACAATCCTGTAGAAAATGAGTAACTTGTCCCCGCACATCTCTGGCTGCGGCTCAGGGCTTGTGCGGGTGACAATACATCATCACCAGCTTCTCTGTTAGGTTTCCCTCAAGTAAGGCACCGCTGAGTTTGGGTCTGCGGAGGGTCTGGCGGCCTTGGTGGGGACGTGGCAGGGATGTCGCGGGTGCCGGAGTGCAGAGGGGGCAGGGTGAGGTGCAGGAAGGAGGCTGCCATGTGTGCGAGGAATTTTGGGTTGCATCTTTAAATAGCCTCAGTCATTCTTTTCTTAAGCACTCCCTCGAGACCTCATGGGTCCTAGAGCTGGAGAAAGTCTCTCCGGCTTCCCAGCGAGGTAGGACTCCCCAGGGTCCCCGGGGGCACAGGGGCCTGGCTGCACCTGGACACGTGGCCGCTTGCCCGCCTTGGCCCTCGGGACATCCCTGGTGCCCCTCACGCCCTCACTGCATCCTGTCAGGCTGCAGCTGTGTTGGCTGGTACTGCACAAAGGTGGTGCCCGCGGGCGCCGCAGCCGAGAGGGCCTGCGGCACGGCGGCCGGGTAGCCATATCCCACGAAGCTGGTGGCGGCGGCGGGCGAGGCCGCGTACGGGTACTGGTCGTAGGTGGCTGGCGGGTAGTGGGCGTAGGCAGGGCTGGCGGGCATGTAGTCGATGTAGGGCGAGGACAGCGAGGGGACAGGGGTGGCTGGGACCACCACGCTGGGCTGCAGGATGGCCGGCGGGTAGATGTAGTGCGGTGTCAGCCTGTGGGGCAAACAAAGAGGGATCAGGGGCAGGTGGGCAAGGTGGGGGAACACACCTCCAGGGTGCAGCGGATAAGCCTGGACAGCTGGGTGATGAGGTTTCCCCCTGCACCCCAGGTCTCTATTTCCTCATCTGTAAAGACAATATAGCAAGAACAACAATAACAATAATGGTGCTCCTTGGGACACACAGGCACTGGTGTTGCAGTGGTTAAGAGCTCAGCTGCTAACCAAAAGGTCAGCAGTTCGAATCCACCAGCCCTACCTGGAAACCCTATGGGAAAGTTCTACTCTGTCCTACAAAGTCACTATGAGTTGGAATCGACTCAACGGCAACAAGTTTGAACACACAGCCGTGCCCCTGCCTCAGGGCCTTTGCACTGGCTGTTTTCCCACCTGGAGCATGCTTTCTCAGCTCCCAAGGCTCCCTCCTGCC